GGGGGGGGGAAGAGAGCTGTAGCAGTCCACTTCTGTAAATATTTACAGCCTCTCTTTTACCATAGAGGGAGCTCTGGGGGCCTAACGGTAAGGAATTGCATGGCCAACCTGAAGGTACACAGTTGGAAACCCCAGGTGCTCTGCGGGAGAGAGAGAGATTTCTCTTCCTAAGTGATTTATTGCCTGTGAAAATCCACTAGAGGATTGGTTCCAACTTGATGGTACCTAACAACATGATCTTAGAGGGGAAACTCTGGTGACTAGTGATAAGAAGTTGCACTGCCAACTCAAAGGCACATCCACTAGCTGTTCTGCAGGAAAACGATAGGCAGACTCCTCCTGTGCAATTTACAGCGTCTGAAAACCCGCTGGAGGGTCAGCTATGAGTCGGTTCTGACTTGATGGTGCATAACAACGTAACAGCTCAATCCTAGAGGGGAGCTCTGGGTAAGGAGGAGTTGCACTGTAAACACAAAGGTGGGGGGGTGCTGGGGGGGGTGAGGATTCGAGTCCATCAACTGCTCCTCAGGAGAAAGATGACAGTCTCCTCCCATGTAATTTGTGGCCTCTGAAGACCCACTGGAGGGTCAACTGTGAGTCTGTCCTGACAACTGTAAAGAGCCCATCACTCTGTTCTGTGAGGTCAGTATGAGTTGGAATTAACTTGAATGACAGTGGATTATTATAGCTGGTTTGGAGCTTTGTCTGACATACTTTGGACATGTTGTAAGGAGGGACAAGTCCTTGCAGAGGGACATCATGCTTGGGAGGGTGAAGGGATGGCGCAAGAGAGGAAGACCCTCTAGGAGGTGGATTGATTCAGTGACTGGGGTAATCGGGATGGGTGTGTCGAAGACAGTGCTATTGGCACAAGACAGCAGAGTTTATGGCTGTTGTACATAGGGTTGCTATGAGTCACAAGTGACTCGATGGCACATAACAACAACAACAACAACAACATATCATAGATGAGGAATCTTGCTCTGAGATATGAACTTGCCCAAGACCTAGAGCATGGAAAGGAGAAGACATCATTTTAGAGCCAGACCAACTGAGAAGGGCACATGGGTCCTGTGATTTCTGGCCACAGGCCTAGCACTTCCACTAACTAGTTATGCTTTGGAGCAAGGAGCTTCACCTCTGTCGGCTTCAGTCTCTTTAGCTACCAAACTATGGAGGAGTCTACTAAGGACTGGCCTCTGCCAAGTACTTGGGGAAGTCTTCACAGCTCCTGAGAGAAAGGAGAACTAAACCTAGCTATATCCCTTCTTTCATTCTCAGCATGTTACTCCCATAGATTACTCAACATCGACTCTCTCTCAAAACCGTTTCAACTCCTTACCACCCTGGCATAGTCCATAGCTAATCAAAACACTTCACATCTATAGCAGTTTGAATCTGCCAGCCACTCCTTGAAGAAAGAGGGCAGTCTCTTCTCATTAAGATTTCCAATCTCAGAAACCCGATGCAGGGTCACTGTGAGCCAGAATCAGCTTGACAGCAGTAAGTGATCCTAAAGGACATAGGGTTTCTGCCAAGGCTGTAAATCTTTTGCAAGAGTAAAGTTCCTAAAAGACAGGGTAATGATGGGCAAGGTCCAATGGTGATTAATTTTATAAACCATCATGCATGAGAATGGCTGTATGAAACACAACGTGAATGAAAAATATGTGAAACACAGTATATACAAATTTTGTAAGCAAACCAACTTTTTTTTTAAAAAAAGAGTAAACTTGCTAATCTTTCTCCTGCATAACAGCTGGTAGCTTCCAAACCACCAGTCTTTTAGTTAGCAGCCCAAGGCTTAGCCTACCATGCCATAAATGCTCATTAGTCTACTTTATAGACACACTACTTAATAGAGATGGTTAAGGCCCTTCGGAGAACCAAAAAGAGCTTCACCTCAGCCAAATATTGCAGCTTGATTCGACACAGAGCATGGTTATTTTAGAATACCTGTATTATTGTACTTCATACTTAAAAGCTCTTCCAGCTTTAACATTTCATTATTTATTTTACCAGAAAGATAAGATATTCTAGTATCTCACCCTGAAAGGATATGATTTTGTGAATAAAATTCCAAGTTAGGTTTAGAGATAGAAAATAGTTTTTGTTCATGCCTCAAACTATGATACGAAGACATGTAAGGCCTTTCTTCACTTACAGAATTTAATTTTGTCTGCATGTGCGTGCATTTTTTTTATTTGCCATGGCTGCAACTGACAAGTGAAATAGAAATAAGTTGAACATGGCAATGACATTATTTGGCTTTAAGGAAGAATGCTGTGAACACAATATAATGTTGCTAGACAAGTATTTCCTAAAGTAGGTTATTTATGAGAAATAAGCAGTGGTATTCTTGGAGAAAATGTTTCATTTGGGAGCCAAAGCTTAAAGTTAAAGATGCTTCCTTACTATAGGAATTCTCATAGCTTCAGTATGCTGATATGTATTGGGGAGCCCCTGGAATGAAATATCCACAGTATTTCTAAAACACGTTTTTCTTAGAAGCCCTCCCTTTGTGTAGTATCCTGTGTGAGATTAGTGTTCAGCGGACTAGCATTTGGGAATTAGTGTGCTGTGGTATTTTGTGTTGTTGCAAGCTAGTCCTGCACCAGAGCATGACTATTTTAGGATGCTTTCTCTGTGTAGGGAGCTCTGGTGGTGTAGACCGTAGGGAGTTGTGCTGGGGGCATCTCTCTTGTGGTTTGAATCCACTGGCACCTCTAAGGGAGAAAGCTGGGTAACCCCCGTCATGTGACTGTTAGCCTCCTGAAGAAGAATGTGGTAGTGGGATCAGAGGAAGACTCATCAACAATGTGCATTATGTAGATGATACAACCTTGTTTGCTAAAAGTGAGGAAGACTTGAAACACTTATTGCAGAAAAAAACTGTAGCCTTTCATATGGATTACATCTCAACATCAAGAAAGTAAAAACCATCACTGGTGCTAGATGGAGAAAAGGCTGAAGTTATCAATTATTTCATCTTACTTGGATCCACCAGCAACATCGTTGGTGCCAGCCGTCAAGAAATCAAAAGACCTATTGCATTGGCAAAGTCTGCTGTCATGTACCTCTCCAAAGTGCAGAAGACCAATGATGTCAGCTTAAAGATTAAATTGGCTCCTGATTTAAGCCATGGTATTTTCAGTCACCTGCTATGCATCTGAGAGCTGGGCAATGAAAAAGGAGAGCAGAAGAAGGATCAGTGCCTTTGAGTTATGGCATTGGAGAAGACTGCCAAAAGAACAAACACATACGTTATGGAGAAAGTGCAGCCAGAGTGCTCCCTGGAGTCAAGGATGGTGAAGCTTCATCTCACCCACTTTGGGCAAGTTGTTAGGAGGCGTGTCTTTGGAAAAGGATATCATGCTTGGAAAGGAGGAGGGTCAGCAAAAGAGAAGAAGACCTTCAATGAGATGAGCTGACATAGTGGCTGCAGCAGTGGGGTCTAGGATATCAGAGGTGGTAAGGATGGCACAGGATTGGACAGGGTCCACATCTCTTGTTCATAGGGTTCAACTATATGGCACGTAACAACAACAACCACAACACAAAACCTTCTGGAGGGACATATATGAGTTAATTCTGACTTGACAGCAGTGAGTATGGAGAATGGAGATAACCTACATAGTTGCCTCCTTCTACCCATATGCACACCAAGTTGGCAATGACTTTTCCAGTTATTTTTTTCTAATCATGGAAATTAAGTTTTAAACCCACAATTAACTATCCTCTTCCTTGCCATCCCTTGGTAATAGCCTTTGCAACACTTCCTAATCTTTAAGTCACCTTTTAATTCTTTGTGAAAAATTTTAAACTGGCAAATAAAATAACTCCCCTAGTACTTAGACATTAAAATTTGCTAAAATAAAGTACATTTAAAATATTTTCATCCTCAGTTCTCTTCTTCCACTAAATAAATATTTATTGAGTAAATACTATGTCTTGGTACCAGGAACATAGTACAAGCAAGACAAACCATCAAGAAGATTGTGTTGATGTTGGCTTTCCCTGTTGCAGCTTCATTTATCACCCAAGCAACCTCGATACTTTATACTATGATTTTTTAAATGAACATTAATGGATTTGTCAAGGCGCTCTGGTGGCTTAGTGCTGATGAGTTGCCCAACCATGTGGCTTGGATCTACCAGTTGCTATATGGAAGAAGGATGGACAGACTCCTCCCTTGTGATTTACAGCCTCTGCTGAAAACCCACTGGAGGGTCATCTAGGAGTTGATTTTGAGCCAACAGTGCACAACAACAGCAATGGGCTTATTCGGGAGCTCTGGTGGCCTAGTCCATAGGGAGCTGTGCCACTAGCCCAAAGACTGTGCCTCTTTGGTGATTTGAATTTGCTGATGAATCTGGAGGAGAAAGGAGAAGATGAGCAGTCACAGCCTCTGAAAATGTGCTAGAGGTTCAGCTAAGAGGCGGTTCTGACTCGATAGTCATGAATGAGTGAGTGGATGAGTAAATGAGTGAATGGGCTCAGCAGGTGACTATCATACGTGATTTTTTTAAATGACCGAGAGATCAATACCCTATCCAAAAAGAGAGGCTCTCATATAATTTTGCACATTGAGACAAGTGGTAAAGGGGAGGTTATTCCAGAAAAGATGACCTTCTGGACACAACTTGTCCAGATCTCTCCAAATAACAAAACCTAACACACAGAAAGCATCATTCAGAATGTTTTCTGCATTTATGTCATTTCTTCCTCATTATCCCTATGAGATAGTTGTTATCACCATCACTGCACAGATGGAGAAATAGAAGTTTGCCTGGATTATGAACCTTGATTAAGGGCATCTGAACAGTAAATTATGGAGCCAGAACTGCAACCCAGGTCTTGTGCCCCAGATGCTGGGCTGATGCAAGTGTATATCTTGCTCCCTTTCCAGGAGCCTGCTCTCCCTGCTGTGGGCCCACAGATGCACCTCGATGCCTGGATTATGCCACTCATTCTATATTTCCAGCAAAGCCTCTGAATATTTCTGACTCCAGTTGTTGGTAGATTAGTTTGCTTGGCTCCACAGTCAACAAACACTCTTGGCACCAGTAGCCAGGAAATTAAAAGACATATTGCGATGGGAAAGTCTGCTCTTAGGGACCTCTCCAAAGTACTGAAGAGCAATGGTGTCTTTCTGGAGACTAAGGTTTGTCTGATACAGGCCATGGTCTTTGCAATCACTTGTTATGCATCAGAGAGTTGGACAATGAC